ATGTCTGCAAAACTACCCAGTTTTAAATGCAGAGATGCATACCATATACCATTTTTATAATACATTTTTAATAGATGTAAATACAATCAAATTTAAATAAACTTTACATTGGCAAAATTAAAAATCACATGCTTGCATCTCTGTAATGCTGTGGTTTGGGTTAACCAGGAAAGTAAGATGGAATAGTTATGAAAGATCTGATAAAACCTGGTGATATAACTTGCATTGTTTTGGTGCTTGGTGACAGACAGTCCAGTTCAACAAATCTGCTTGGCAACAGGCTCTGGTCCTCACACGTGTAGAAGAAAAAGATTTTTTTTATTTTGAGTTTTCTGAATTCGGAAGTGACATTTTGATTCTCTATTGCCACCTCATGATAGATTTGTGTTTTGCACCATTGTAGCTATAGTAGAAGTGGTGGCCCTCACAAAGAAGTCACAGAACGTGGGCCACACAAAGGCATAAAGACGTGTGTGTGTGTGTGGACTTGATGGATGACTGGATGCTTCTGCTTTGTTACAGGTCATTAAAGCAGCAAAGCACTGTACCATTACAGTGCTCCCATGGTGGGGCGGTGGTTGGTGGATTAATCAGTCACCAAAGCCTGTTGTCTTTACAGGGACTCCATTCAACATTTCAAAGGGCCCAGAACATCATTGGTGTGGTCTCTGCATCACTCACTAACTTTCTTCTTTGCTCTTCAGCAGGTGTTCCCTGACTCCTCAAAAAGTGCTGACATCAGGTGTTTGGCTGAACATGGTTTGGTTTCACATCTACTGTAAATTTCTGCCCCAGAGTCAAAATAGTATTTTAGTTTCAGCTGAGTCCCTTTCATTTGGCTCTGCACGTTCTTACAGCATACACCTTGGACTTCATACACAGAGTAGCTGTTGTCGATTTTGTGTGTTAACAAACAATTAACAATGTTAAAAAGGGTTTAAAATCCAATTCAGACGCTGGATGGTTGATAATTAAGTCCCTTTATTAAACGTGGGCTAACAGATTAGAACACTGGTCTTCTCCAGGATGTCTGGACACACAGTGAAGCCAAACCAGTAAGTCATGATTCCACACAACCCAGTAGATACAATTCAGATGTTGCTATATCTGTTGCTATAAATGTTACAGTTTATTTTTATTGATTGATTATTTAATAATCAATCATTATCAGACTCTGAATACTGACATTGTTCTGTATTAACACTGCAGTGTAGCCAGAAGCTCTTCGATCTCGCCACACATTCGGTTTCTGTTTCTCTCTCTGATCCTTTCTAGAATACTGATGCTGTTCTTGCGGTAGAATGATTGTTGCGGTATCGCCGCTGCCATCATGTGATATTCTATCGACTTGTGGCTCTCTTTTCGAACAGATTGTAAATATTTAGCATAGTAGTTGTAAAGCATCTGAGATTCTTCAGGATCCAGATCACTTTCTAGCAGTTCCTGAAATATCTGGTCACCTTCAACTTGGAGGTTTGACTCTGAGTATAAGTTTGCAAGAGACAGTTTTTGTTTAAGTGAAGAATGAGGGTAGAGAGAAATCACTTCCCTATACAGAGCGATTGCTCTGTTTATCATGCTGTGCTCCGGTGGATTGTGCTTCTGTAGGAAGATTCTCTTTTTGTAGCAGAGTGCAGCACACCTCTTCAGATATCTTTCATCTGGATGTCTTTCCAGAGCCTCCTCTGCCCAATCAATAGCCTCATCCATAGACACATGCTTTCTGTAGAACCTTAGTAATGGTTTGATACCACTGTAGCTGCTAACTGGCTTTCTTAAAATTCTTCTGGCCAACTCACATGCTTCAGCCTCAATTTTTTGTCCATTTTTGGCACATGCCTCAAGGTAAAGCACAGCAAGAAACAAATTCTCTGGATCATGCTCCTTGGCAATTTTCATTTTCTCTAAGATGTCAGCCCCCAGCTTTTTGTTGCACTGTTTAAAGGCATTTACTAACACCAAGACATGGCTGGTCTGCCACTCCACCATGTCTGGCTGCATCCTGATGGCTCTCTGGAAGTAATCTGCAGCCAGCAGCTTCTGGTCTGCCTCGAACTTCATCAGGGTCCAGGCCTTTTCAGCGTAGACCTCTGGGTGCAGCTCGTCCTGCGATGGAGATGGGTATTTATTCAGCAGGGCGTCAACCTTTGACAGGTAAGCTTGGCTCTCTGCTTCTTCTCCCAGGTGGTGGTGCAGCCAAGCCTGGTTCCCGTAGTTCACCACCAACCAAGGACCCTCATCTGTGACAGTGTTTCTCATCTGGCGAAAGGCCTCTGCAGCCATGCTGAAGAATCTCCGGGCGTCATCAATTAACCCCAGCTGGTAGTGGATGTACCCCTGCAGGTTGTAAATGTGACCAAGCCAGCTGTAGCCCTCCTCAGTGCCAATGTCCTCCAACTTGTCCCTGAGACAGAAATGTTTGGACATGCTAGTGTCCAGATCCCAGGTGAAGTGGCACTGTAGGGACAGCAGTGTCGATGGACTCTGAGCAGCACTGCCAGAGATTACAAGTTTATTAAATCACATCTAACAGGACAGGATTATAATGTGCTCTGTGGCTTGTGATGTTTGGATAATCACTGTTTAAATCATGTGATGAAGGGAGGAAATATAATAAACAGTGTAAGACTGAAAAAAGACATGGGAAAATATCAGAAGCTACAAGGAAAGGAAGGAGAGAAGGAAAAAAGAAAAGAGGGAATCAGTTAAGAAATGAGGGCATAAGATAAAAGAGGCAAGTAAGAACGGAAGGGAAGAATCATAAATAACAAAGTGGATGAAAATTAATGGATAAATGTGGGAGAGAATACATGAATGGAGAAATGAATAGTGCCCAAGGTAAGGACAGGCAAAGGCCATAGGAAGATAAATAACAGGGGAAGCACCGAAGAAAGGGGGCTAAAACTGGGAGAATGAAAAATAAGAATGAATGACAGAAGGACCAAAAATAAGGGAGGAACCAATAAGCAAGGAAGAAGAGTGAAAGGGAAAAGAAAGAAATAGAACAAGAAGCTCAATAAAACAGGAAGAAAATAGAGAAAGGAGAGAAAAGAACAAAGCCATGTAAAATTAAATCAGTGACAGTGGATTCTAATTGTATACTACACAAAAAATATTACTTATTACAGATGTGACACAAAGAAGCAATGACTTACCTCATCTTCCAGCTGTTGCCTGCACTCAGTAGTTTTCTGAATATAAGTCTCTGATTCCTGCTCTCTATGTGTGCTGTTGTTTTGGCTGCTGCACCATAAAAATCAGTAATGTTCAACTTGTGCATTGTAAATGATGTTATGTTGGACACTAGATTTGGACTCGGTGGACTTTATTTTCCCAGTGTCAGACACCCACAACCACATATCTGGCATAGTGAAAAAGCACAGCAAGTGATGACTCACCAGGTCCACGTGAACACATCCTGGTCTCTCTTGATTTGTTTCTAGAGATTAAAGTCTTGTCTATGAATCCAGGTTTACCAAAATGATGGATGCTGCCTATAGGTTGCCATTATTACTCTCTACAAAACTATATCTTTTAAAAGTGGTCAACTCTGCCTTGGTGTTTATTTCCTGTGACATTTAATTGCCTATTTTGAGTATTGTTTTGCATGTTGCCATTTGTTTTTGCTGAACATGTCATAATCTAATCTGATCTGATCTGTCTCACTTTTCACTTCTGCTTGAGCAACATGACTGGCTGTTGTCAGATTCATTAACAGTATATCTGCTACCAGAGAAATGAGGTTTCAATTCACTGTACACTTTACTCTTTTGATTAAAAGATTTGAAAGATATCAACGCAATCGACATCATAGGGCAAAAGGTTGAAGTCCAAGTGAAGTAGTGAGTCACATATGCTGAACTCAGTGTTAGTAATTATTGAATTATGGGGATTCTATGTTGTACATGGACACAGGCAATTTTGGCTTCTGAAAGGACCAGACATTACTCCAAGGCTAAATATAGGACAAGAAGAATCATGTGATATGTTTCAGTATACACAGGAAATAACCTGTTGTTGATGGCAATAATGCTTCTTATGATAGGTTATAGCCAGGTTGTGAATAGGGCACAGTAATTTAAATAGTGTAATCTAAAAAATAGGTAAGCATCCAAATGGGCTTTGGGGGATCTGTAGAGAAATAGAAACAGTTGAGATGTGATGTTGGCCTGCAAAAAGTACACAGCAGAGCGGGGAGACATGATAAATGAGCTCAGGAGAAGTGTCTGGAATGCAGTCACAAAAAATACTGGATTTTAGGGGTCAAAACAGAAGGATTGTGTTGAACGTCCAAGTAAGAACTGGAGTGATTAAAAGAATTTAACGGGATGGAAATTTACAAGTTCAATGTCACCAAGAGATGGCAGTAATGCAACGTCTTGCATGCCAACTGCAAATAAACGCCAAAGAGGAGGAAGAAGAAGAAGAAGACGACGAAGAAGAAGAAAAAAAAAAACCCAACCCTTTAACAAACTTACGCTTGATTGCGTCACTGACCTGCGACCGATATACCGTGCATGTAGTATGCAGAAGAAGTTAAAAGCTAGTTTACTGGATTTTGCTGCTTGCTGCCAGATTAAAACGTTAATGCATGGATTAGTGACGACTCTGTGAGTAGCAATACCAATAAATGTACAGAAAAGAGACGACTGGAGTGTGTTAAAGTCCGGCTAACTGAGCTGGAAATGCCAACAGTAGTTACTCTGCTGGTGTAAAAATAGTCCACTTGCTATCTTTAGCTAAACTTCGTGGTTAGCTCAGCGAACTTAGCTGCTTCTGTGTCTTTCAGATGATGATGTGACAGCCAACCGTGTCTCAGTGTTCTTGTGGAGCAGTGCATGTCCCGGCCGCGGGAGGTGGAGGAGGGCAGGCGGAGGGTCTGAGCTCTGTGTCGGCAGCTGTGAGTGTCCGAAATGGAGACCTGGACCCCCAATCCCCGAGCCAAGCCTTTCATCCCGCGCCAACAACGGAGCTTGTATCTCACCTGGAAATATAAACTAACCAACAAGAGGACGATTCGTCGGTTTTGTCAGGTCTGTGAAACTGTCTTGTTGCGTCGAACGGTAACGTCACATGTTTTCTTGCATTTATGTTTGCAACGTTTCACACATGTATGAAACGTTGAGACTGTGTAATCCACAAACAAATGCAACTTAAAGCCCTCACTAGAAGTGAAATAAGATTTCAACGTGAAGACTGTTTTCCCGTCCTCAGGCTGGAGCTGTGCTGTTTCTGCTGATAACTGTCATAGTCAACATTAAACTCATCCTGGACACAAGAAGAGTAGCTAATGAAGATGCAGAAACTCAAGAATATGGTGAGAAACATGCCCAGGACTCATTTTGTCTATCTTTGTTTCACACTGTTTGTTGTTTCAGCATTTGGCTGAAATATCACGGCACAGTTGTATCTTTGTTTGGTCAGTCAGATCAGCCCTTGATATTTAAATAGGCTTACAAAGAGCTTTGGTAGCAGACACCTCTGGTCAGTAGTGTACAGGCCTTTCTATAGAGATATACCGTCTCAGCCGCCAGTATTTATTTTGTCCATATCATTAAGGATTTTGTCCTGAGTTTAGCCTTCATGGTCACAGAAACTCACTGGTCAAAGATTTTGTTGGAATTTGTAATAAGATCTGTATGAAGACTATCACTGAATTACTTGAGGTGATCAGGGTGTCCAGTGTAGTCTGTTTTCCTCTGTCAGTAGGTTCTAAATATGCATCGAAACTTTCTAATATTTAAAATGGTTAAAACTGTGACTCTAGATGAAGATTTCCCCAAATCTCTGCTGGACATATTTGGTGTCTTTGGAAACTTCAGGTTGTCCACAGGAACTTGGTGAGTTTGTACACTGATAGTTGTCAACATATGAATGTAAAGATGGACCTATAGGTGGGCCTGGCAGATAAAACTTCTTTTATCAAAGTATACATTTCCCTTTTTCTGGCTTTTCCAAGTTTGTTGTTGACAAAAACACTCAGAGATGGAGTAGAGAGTTGTGTTTTACTTGGGGAATTATTTGTTAACGCCAAACCTGTACTGAAGATGCTGTTTTGGGAACGGATCCAGTCTCGCCATGGTTTTATTGTGGATTTCCTAATTTTGGTTTTCTGTTCCTTTTAAAGAGGACATGATGCCCAACATGGATACACCACGCAGGTCAGCTAATGGACGCAAAGTGCTGGACATTGAGGTGTACTCCAGCCGCTCCAAGGTCTATGTGGCAGTGGATGGAACCACTGTGAGTTTGGTCATTTTAATCAATAATATTTTTGTGAGGCAGAAAGCACAAGCAATGAGAAGAGCAGACAGGTTGAAACAAACAACAGAGAAAATGACAGCTAAAAATAAAATTGTTACTTTAACTGTCTGTAATGTTCATGAACATTCATCACAAACTACAGGCCTAAACCCTGCATCAGCTTTGATGTCAACTGATGTCTCATAAAATGAAATGAAATGGGGTCATTGCACAAATGTACAAAGCAGCAATAAACAGTGATGTAACATTGTTAGGTTTATGTGTTTGTTTTTGATTTAGATCTGCTGTTTATTGTAGGTGTAATTTCTTTACACTGATTGCAGTTGGTAATTCAGTTGCAATGCTTAGCTCTCACTGATCAAAACATTAAACTCAGCCATTTTAGAAAACAGTTTGCCATCTCACCTAGATTATTTTAATTTGTTTTGATGGAGCTAGGCTAGCAGATTCCCCTGTGCTTGTACTTGTTTTGCTAAGCTAGCCTAAACATGTTTCAGCTCTGTCTCTGTAAAGGAGATGGAACTGATATCAATCTTCTCATCAGCCTCTGGAAAGTTGGCAAAATGTCAGCCTGTTCCTTTAGTCATGTAGTTTGAGCAGACCACTGGTAAAACCTTTCTTTATATTGCTCATCTCCTGTAGGTTCTGGAGGATGACATGCGGGAGCAGGGCAGAGGCATCCATGTGATAGTTCTCAATCAGGCAACAGTGAGCATCTGCTGCTTCTTCTTCCTGTCAAATGTTAACAAATGACTTTTCTTCCATTTCAGCATCACAAGTTTCATTTCAGACTACAGCTGAGACTGAAATTTTTATAACAATAATTCATCGTCTTACCCATTTTCTCACTGTATGGCTAGTTCGATAAAATTCCTGACTGTGCTGTCCAAAAAAAACAGCAGAGACTCAATTGAGTATTTAGGTTTTATGCAAATAAAGAAATAGAAGAAGAAGAAAAGGACAGTCTGCATGAAAACCCACTTCCTCTCCAAATTATTTCAGTTTTGTTCTGAAGTGGAGGAAAACCAAGAACATGGAGGCACAATTAATCTGTTTAATTAAAGGAGGGTCAGATAAATCAGTCACTGTATGTGTGTGTGTGTGAGTCTCAGGGTCATGTGATGGCTAAAAGGATATTTGACACCTACTCTCCCCATGAGGATGAAGCCATGATCCTCTTCCTGAACATGGTGACCCGGGGTCGAGTCCTCATCTTTACGATAAAGGTCAGTCAGTACTACTGTCTTGGTGACAAGTCAGCTTAGTTATTAATGTATATTCATGCAGATGGTTGACAAAAGAGAAATCTAACAGAATGTGTGTGGAATGTTGTTTTCTTCTGCAGGATGAGGGAACATTCCACCTGAAGGATGCTGCGAAGAACCTGCTGAAGAGTCTCGGCAGCCAGGCATCCCTCAACCTCAGCTGGAGGGACATGTGGACTCTGGTGGTGAAGAAAGGAGGTAGAGGAGTTAACACTCAGTGGTGTTTTATTATTTTATGTCATGATGTTTTGAGATGTGCATCTTCTGCTTCTACCCCCAGTACAGTAGTGAGTGTGCTTTTAGAAATTTCTCATGTTGACCTGCTGACTGTGTTTGAACATGTGTCCAGGTCAAGTGTATGGAGAGAAGCACTCGAAATCTCCAGCTCTGTCCACCTGGGGAGACCCGGTGCTTCTGAAGACCGAGGTGCAGCTCACTGCCTCTGAAGGTACGAGACGGTTCTAGCATGCTTAGAAAAGTGTAACATCCATCTAAAGGATCATGATGTGATGTTCCGTTATGGCAAGAACCAAACCAAAAGATCCTGGTTGTAAAATCAGAGCTACCCCTGCCTACCTCCTACTCTTTAACCCACTTGGAGAAGATTTCTTAAAAATTCTACATATGAAGTGGAATCTGTGTCCTGCAGAGGCAGAGTGCCACTGGGCAGACACCGAGCTGAACAGGAGGAGGAAGCTCTTCTGCAGCAAAGTGGAAGGATACGGTAGCATCTGCAGCTGCAAAGACCCAGCGCCCATCGAGTTCAGTCCTGACCCAGTAAGACACAAAACAATACTCCTTCATTCACTCTAGATAGAATAATGAATAATGCTCATCAGTTTCCCAGAGCTTAAAGTGTCACTCTGTCTTCTTGTTTTGTCCGACCAAAGTCCAAAGACATTTCTTTTCGCATCATATACAAAAAGCAGAAAATCCTCACATTGAAGAAGAAAGAGCTAGCAAATAATTTGGAATGTTTGGTTCGAAAGTGACTAAAATGTTTAAGAGCTACTTTTCTGTCAGATTACTTTTTTCCTGTTGGTGTGCTGCTGTAATCTAAATTAATCCAGTTTCAGAATTTGGATCTGAAAAATTGAGCTGTGACTGCAGTTCTCCAGAATGAAAGGAACATTATTAGCTGTAGCAGTACATTCTTGTATTGTGACTGAAATGACACTAAATATCTCAGTAAAACCATTAAATCCAGGCATCTTTGTGCATTAAGCTGTGCTGTCACTACAAAGCATGTCCTCTCACAGTACAAGCAGTTTGACACGGTCTGGAAGCATCTTGGATAACCAGTCGACTTAAAAGAAGTCACGCATGCAAAACAAGACTGGGGTGCTGTATTATTCCTGCCCTGCGCCATGTTTGGTTTGGTACATGCGTGTGTACCTGCTGTCCCATTACCTGCGTGACCTGATTTCTCCCAGTGATTTGAAATGTAGTCAAGTTTTACTTGCATTATTTTCTTTCTCCTTCCAGCTCCCTAACAATAACGTCTTCAATGTCCCTGTGGCTGTCATCGCAGGGAACAGACCCAACTACCTGTACCGGTAGGATCCGAAGACTAGTGATGCAAAAGGACTGTGAAGTTGTTGTTTTTCTATGAAAGGAAGTCAACACTTCAGAAACTGCTTCAGAATGTTGGGTTATTTTGTGATTTCAGTTACTTAGCACATTCTGTTTTCGACCACATTTAAAGTGGCGGTTATACCTGATTTTTAACTTGTCATCTATAAAATAAGTTCTTATTTGTTAGAATTTCATAGTTAAACTGCATTTTAACAAATGAACATACATGAGGCCCACAGACAGAAAATATTTCTCTTAGTAAATTACTTTCTGCTCTGCTGGATATTTTAATTTAAGCTCTACGAGCTGCAATAAGCTGCTGTTGTCAAAGCAGGATGAAGAAAGAAGGCGATCCCTTCATTACAAATACATTTGGTCTTATTAATATGAAGGAAAATGACCATTCACTTGTCAGCCCCTGGTAAATCACACAGTCATCCATCAGTACAGAGCCATTAGAAGAAATGACCCTCATTCCTCTTGTCTAAAACACAATTGCAACCAGTCGTCGTCTATTTTCAGGATGCTGAGGTCACTTCTTTCGGCTCATGGCGTCAACCCACAGATGATCACTGTCTTCATTGATGGATATTATGAGGTATCAGCTTTATTTCCACTTTAACTTTTAATCTCTCCACCCTTTCAACTTGGATGTCATTACATAGGAGAGTGAGTACACAAAATATTTGTTTTGTTTTTTTCCCCCGGTATCTTTCATAAGTATATCAACATGTCTGCATACACCAGTATGAGATGTTTCTGTCAGAACTGGGACAGTAGAGGTGAAACAAAACCATCTAATACAAAAGGGTATGTAGTGGGTTCAGAACATCACTAGTCAGAGGGTCCTGACTGACTAAGGGCTTGCTCACACCCCAGGCCTTGATGCTCAGTCCTGATATTTGTTTGTTCTGTTCTGTTTATGGTTCTGCTTCCCGTCCGTGTGTGTCAGTGCCATGTACCTGGCTCCGGTGTGAACACTGCTGAGCCAAATCATTTCAAAGACACAGCCCTCCTGATACATCATATTGAAAAACCGTTTCACCCATCTCATGTGTTGTTTATGACCCAGGAGCCTATGGATGTGGTGGAGCTGTTTGGACTGAAGGGGGTTCAGCACACACCCATCAGCATCAAGAACGCCAGAGTGTCCCAGGTAAACAACAGTTAGCTGCTCATGGACTCAGTGAGGTTCAATTACAAACCAGCACTTGTGATTTTGTTAAATGCATCATGCTTAACTATCACATAGATGAAACTGTCTTGAAGTTTAGTCCAACTTTAGCTCATTAAAGTAACTGAGAGCTCCAGCAGTTGTGCTTTTCTGTTGTGAACTCACCAACCGGTCTCTGCTCTCTGTCGCAGCACTACAAGGCGAGTCTCACTGCAACCTTCAACCTTCACCCAGTGAGTACTTGGTTTCTTTTTCCACAACAAAAACTTAATCTTTCATGAATGTCAGGCTGAGCAGTAATATGTAGGGTGTGTGATGTAAGTGAGCACTCCCCCAGCATGTTATTCTTTATTTTTTATCAGGATGCTAATTTTGCTGTCGTCTTAGAAGAAGACCTGGATATCTCCATCGACTTCTTCAGGTACGTACTCAGTGTGCACATCCACTGCTGAGTAGTTATCACAGTTACTTGATTGATTGGCACGAAATTATTCTGCATCTTTTTGATTGATTAATTAATTCAGTAAGTTGCTGAATGTTTGCTGTGTCCACCTAATGAGGAGCTGCTGGTTTTCTAAGAGAAACAACACACAAACGCCATAATAGAAACACAAGATTGATAAGACATTTACCCAAATTAATTTCATTTCTTTGTTAGTCTACAAATATCCTTGAGTGGTTTACACATTTCTGTTATCATTTGCTGGGACATCAGCTATGATGAATAATTTTTCATGAAAAGTTTGTTGTACCGAGCCTGTTCTCATCATGCACTGTGCTAAGTGTGGACTCCACTAGGTGGCAGCGTCTCCACAGTGATGAAGCTGCTCCAGCCTTCCTTTGCTGAACAGACTCCTCTTTGAACACTGTGTTTGCTCCTGTTGAAGCTCCAGCTCTGAAGTTTTGACTTGAAGTAGTTTGTTTTTTGTCATGTGACTTAGGTTTAAGACTTTAGACTGTCTGACTGTCAACAAACTGAGATATTACTTTACTGGTTGTTGGCTGGTGCCATTTTAGATCCAGATTGATTGGTCCAGAATGTGGTTCATATCTTGTACTCATATATTTTATTTGTTTTTGGCCTGAAAAATGTCTTTCAAGTATTATAGAGTGCTCTGTGGGTTATCTAGTGTCTGTCACTGTCAGGTTGCTGTTGCCCAGTGCAACACAGCAGTTTTAGTGTTGTGTGTTATATGTATTATGGTATTGTATGCACCAACGTCACCTTTGCTTTTGTTTTTCTTGCAGTTTTCTGAGTCAGTCCATCCACCTGTTGGATGAGGATGACAGTCTGTACTGTATCTCGGCCTGGAACGACCAGGTGACTGCTACTGCTGTACCTGCTCAGCTCTTATTTAGTTATCTGTGCCTGTCCCCTGTTTAACTCCTGTTCCTCCTCCTCTGTTCATCCCACACTTTTGCACATGTAGCTTACTTCAGGCTGGTTATCATTGCATAGGCATTTGCAGGAATCTTGTTTCCTTTCACCTGAAAATTAATGTTTTTGAGAAGCAGAGGTATTTCTCCTGTGGAGTTGCAAAATGGTAATAGACACCATGTTTATGCCATGGTGGACATCATCATCACAGTGTGATTCTGAGTGTGTGGCGGTAGTGACTGGAGAGTTTAAACATTGATGGTATTTTCAGATGCAGTAGTGGTAGTAATGAATATAAAGGAAACAGAAGAACATGTGATGAGGCGTTATCAGTTTTTTTTTCTGACCTGAGGGTATAAGTCGGTGTCACCCAGAGCAAGCGACACAAATCTGTACTTCTTACTCTGTTCCTACACATAGAAAAGAGAGTGTGACACACTTATTCAGATGTTGTTTCAGTTCATCTTCCTCCTGCCCTAAAGCAGCTTCTGTTACTTCCTACCTATTGAATGGGACAACTTGATGCCCTTGGAATAGCTGCATGTGTCATTGATAGCTGCTGCTGTTGTTATACAGGGCTATGAGCACACCGCAGAGGACCCGGCCCTGCTCTACAGAGTGGAGAGTATGCCCGGCCTGGGCTGGGTGCTGAAAAAGAGCATCTACAAGGACGAACTGGAGCCAAAGTGGCCGACACCTGAGAAGGTGCAGACAACCCCACCTCTACCCTCCAGTTTGTTTTCTAGTCTGCCAGTGGTTTCAGTTCATGTCTATAAAAATCACACACAAGCATCACACAGTGTAGCAGGGAGCTGTTTGCTAACAGTGGTTGAGTGCAGCTCATCACAGCCAAGCTGCGCACGCCTCAGCTCGGCAGGGCCAACTCATGACATTTCACCATTATTGTGTTTACAACATATTTTGCTGCCCCCAAGTGGCCAAAAGAGAAAATACAACTTTAAATATATGTGTGTGCAACAGCAGTTGTGAGCAGGGACCAACACTAACGTCCTGGAGCCAATAACTTGCCAGTCAAAAGTGTATTTCTTCATAAGCTACACTACACTGAAGAAGAAAAGCAACAATCGAACACAGACATGCTAAAACTGTTTTGGTTGACTTGTGATTAAAGAATGGCAGCTGTGATGGTTTATCCATCTGCTGCAAGTTTTAAATATCTCCATGCTGAAGTGTGCATGAAGAAGTTTGTAGTTAAGGGGTTAAAATGTGTTAAAATACCTGCTTGGTTCTTTAACTGTGTGAGAGAGATTGTGCTGGAGATGTTATATCTGTGGATAAACTCCTGCAGCTGTGGGACTGGGACATGTGGATGCGAATGCCAGAGCAGAGGAAAGGCCGAGAGTGCATCATCCCTGATGTATCACGCTCCTACCACTTTGGCATCATTGGCCTCAACATGAATGGCTACTTCCATGTAAGATCTGGAAATGTTTTTTTAGATTTTAATAAAGCTCCATACAAGTTAAAACCCACAACCAAGCTTAACTATGAGAGCCTAAATTTATCAGAATAACATAGTTTACCAATCATAATTGAGGTTTCTGTTTGTTTAGCAGCTTTAACAGACAGAATATTGCCTAGTGATGTTTAGGTGAAGATATTTTGCTTTAATCAACTGATATTTCAATGATTTCTTTGTTTCATATAATCGTTTCTCATTGGCTTGTCTGGTCATACAGTTTATCCCTGACTTTTCTGTCATACAGGAGGTTTATTTCAAGAAGCACAAGTTCAATACTGTTCCCAATGTGCAGCTGAAGAATGTTGACAGGTGTGTACACCAGAACATGTGGAGTCATGCTGTTTGTCTCATGATGAGCTCTTGAATAGTTTCTGAAATTGGAATTACAGTCTTGATGTGCTTGTGCTTCACAGCTTGAAGAAAGATGCTTATGAAGTGGAGATCCAGAACCTTCTGAAGTGAGTCATGCATCAGTGTCACTGATCCTGTAGATGCTGTATGATTGAGGAAAGGCTACAGAATGGCTGCTGTAACTGTGTGTGTGATTTTAGAGAAGCCGAGGTGCTGGACCACTCCAAAAACCCCTGTGAGGACTCGTTCCTGCCAGACTCTGAGGGGAAGGTCTATGTCATGTTCATTAAAATGGAAACAGAGTTGGACACATCCACCTGGACTGAGCTGGCCAAGGTACACATTCTAAACTTAGTCATAAGTTCTTGTGGCTTAAGAGCAGTTTTAAAACACTGACAGTGACTATGTAAGAAGTACTGTTGCTGCCAAACAGTATCATTTAAATCCAAGTGAATTCAGAGCAAAAACTGTTTTTATTGGTCAGACATCTCACTAGTATTTTTAAGTCTGATCCTAACTGTCATGACTATATGGCCAGCTGAATTCCATTTTCTTCTTTTGTTGTTGTCTCTCTAATATGATCTCTGAAACGAACCTCTTCCATCTATAAAGAGCCAGATATGTCAAAGCATTCTTGTCTTGTCTCTCCTGTTCAGTGCCTGCATGTTTGGGACCTGGATGTCCGAGGGTACCACAGAGGTTTGTGGCGGCTCTTCAGGAAGAGAAATCATGTCCTGGTGGTAGCTGTGCCAATCTCGCCATACTCGTAAGTAAAGTCTAAGTTATGCTTTGCGCTCCATCATAGATGTCGGCTGTTGCGCTAATCACATCATCTCCCTGTGTCCATACGTGGCCCAAACTTTGAGAAGCAGACTACACCTTTTACGAGCACGTCCAGCTACGCAGGCACCCAGTGTAGTATCAACAGAAAAGTCTGAAGTATATTATGCTGCTGTACACACGGGTGATATCTTTATGTCCTCCTTATGTTTTTAGAATACCTGAACTGTAGGGTGTGGGAACATGATGACATGTAACGTCCTGCTGCACCGTACCACCTTGTTGTCCTATATGATGGTTTGTGCAGCACACAGCTTATTTAGGTTACATCATGATTCCCAGGGTCAGTGCATTCCACCTAGTTCATACTTGCCGTTCTCACTCGTTTGCCTGGTGGCACTCCCCAAATATGGCGTCACAACTGCTTGTGCTCACTGGTGTCGTTTCAACTGGTCGTGCACCTCCCAGTTTTTGTAACTCTGTGCGGCTAGAAAAGTAGGAAATGGACAAACTGGGAGCAACAGCGTGTGAGCAGCTTTGTCTCTACGACCCTGTACAAACGTCTGTGACTTGGTGTGCTAGCTAGGTAGAAAGCTAGCTAGCACACCACATCGTCTACCACACAAGCATTCATTCAGCTGTTCTGTAGGTTTGATATCTGCTGGCTAGCTATCCGGCAAGCTACAGAAGTATTTCCTGTAGATTTTCTGCTATTGCTATTCCAGTGTCGAGTTCATTTTCAGTAAAATATTAACAGTTCTTTATTTGTTATCATTTGCCCAGAAGTCTTATTTATAAATAATTTGAGAAGATATAGCCCCTACTGATAGTGATACCACCAACACCAGTAGCAAACACAACAAATATGTCACTGTCTTTCTTTTTCTTTCACCGCTGCCTGTCCACTCTCTGGCTTCCTGTCTGTCCACTCTGTCTCCACTTTGTCTCATGACCAGTGTGAAGAAACCAGCCAGTGTCACTCCCATTCACTTAGAGCCTCCACCCAAAGAAGAGGGAGCACCAGTGGAGCAGATGTAGACCTGAAGTTAGACACTTTAATAAGCCCAGGCCTTAACTCTTCTTCACCTTTCTCCACCAACAATCACTAATAGCCTGGGACCTTCAGCTATGAAACAAACTTTTCCTAGATGTTGAACTTGCATATGAGGATACCTGGGAAATGGAGTCCTGCTGTTTTTTTCGCCTCCTTAAACATGGATGGATTAACACTACAAGCTGCACTACTACATCTGTCCACTGGTTAGAAGATGATGGTCAAACCGGTTTTGGTTAAATGTGTGATGGCACAACTGACACTGGGTATTACTGTCAACCTCTTTTTCTGTTTCCCTGACAGCTGTGGGGTGGTCCACAGTCAGTTAAATTTTCAATTCAAGCTCAAACTTTTCAACAAGAACAGTACAAATGACAGTTTTCTCCAGTTTTTTTTTTTAACCACTCAATGCTTAGTCCATCGTGTACATATGTCTTTAACTTATCTCTATTTATGAATCAAAAAGTGGTTTGTTTGCTTTTTCATCCAACCCACTTTTTCCAAGAACACTGCATTTTTTTTAGAATCTAACGTTTACAGATAATGAAGTAATGTATATACATGCCAATATATTTTTTGATAAAATTAAAAGGGTCAGCATATTTTCAGCATTAGATATTGAGTGTGAGTGGAAGAGTTTATAACAGTCCTGTGGGTTTTATGGACTGCTTAGGTCAGCTGCCTTGGGTCAGGCTTAATGAGGAAAAACAAACATGGTAAAATATTCCATTTTTACACCAAACAGTACACTGCAAGTTTATACAGGAATAATGCAGTTTATGTCTGCTCTGGTTGTACCATGGTTTGGTTTTCTGCTAGTGAGTACATTCACTAAGGGTGGGTGTTGATACAGAACACGACTGTCTGGTCCTGAAAATGACTTGGCACCCAAATCTGGATATCTTGTCAAAACAACACTACTAATAAAGAGTTTCAGCTGGAATTTACACCAGAAAAGTGTAAAAATCCAAGCATTTTAATTTTTAACTTCAAAATGATCAAAGTAGTTTTTTCTGCTTTACCAAAATGTAATGGCATTTTGCTGCTACTGTTAAGTACTAATTAGAAATGTTGTGTTCCTTGGGATTGGGATGTGTCCCTGTAGTGACATTGGCCAGGTTGTATGCTCCTCATATAGTCAGAATCCTGAGAGGCCACCTGGGTAGTTGCAGGCTTCAGGTAACTGCAGTTACCACGTTACAGGAACGCAGATATTACAATGGCCCTCGTGTATTTTATGACCTCAACAGCTGCTGCTGCAGTTTTAACTTATCTTTGCTACATCCAGCAATGTGAGGAGGTACTTATTTGCCTTTTGCTTTCCCTGTGGGTTTCTCTTTGTTTTTTTTGTTTGTTTTTGTTTTTTTGCCTCCAAACCTCCCTTCTTTTTCCACAACCAAAAGAAGCAGCTGTTTTGAATGGGGTGTTTTTGTTTATAGCTTATACTTCCACCTTCTAGCTCTTCTTCCTTCAGGTTCTGAATGGCGAATACTGATACCACCCCCTGCTCGTAGAGGGAGTTATCTCTGTTACGCAGGTGCAGAGTGTACATTCTTGTTGGCTGTGACCTGTGCGGTGTGTTCAAATGACACTTTTTCAACCCGACTGGCCCAGAAGAAGGTGACATGAGGGACTCAACAGCCGACCTACATCGCTGCTAGTTCTTTCAGGTCGGCTTCTTATGTCTCTGCCTTTAAACAGCTAAAATCTGTAATACAGAAGCTAATGGTGAACATAGTTGTGACTGCTGCATTAGGTTCATTACCTGAAAATCACACCTCAGTTATTTTTCAAAACAACAGGCAGCCTTTCTCGTTAGTCAGCCTTAAACTTCAGTCATGGGGGAAATGATTCTGTGGCTCTCGTGTTGACTCTGAAAACAGTTTGTCCAAGTTGATGGTGATTGGCCCTGTTATCTGGCCATAAGAGGACTTACAATTATCTTACATGTACCAAACCCGCATCACAATTACTTGAATAAATAAGTGCTTCTTTTGGTGAATGGTTTGTTTTCATACAGTGTAGAGCAACAACAACACTAACATCTTACTGCAAAACCTGGATGACGTTTTTCCTCAATACAGTGTACCACATTTCAGCATTTATACATATTGTGTAAACAGTAAATGCTTTATAACAAACAAATTTAAGGCCGTTTTTAAGTGTTTAGTGTGTGTATTTGTGTGTTCAGACAACCACATTCAACTGTCTGCTCCAAGATCATCCTGTCAGAAAGAGTCCGTTACTGAGCAGTATTACACTCCTTGTTATGACTGAATGAACAAATATTTGTGTCCTGGATGTTTCACTTTTGTTTTAAGACGATGAGGATAGAGATCATTTTTGTCTTTCATGTAACTCCAGTTTCTGTGGTGGTATGTGTGCTGCTTTTTGACCCACAAGGGTTTCACAAAATAAGTTGTTTTCTCAGCAATACAGTTGTTTTTGTTTAATCCTAATGCTTTATTTAATAATTTTGAAAAATACTGGAAGGTACCATTAGGAGCAACAGTGGACATACTGTAACTTTCAGATGCGGTTTAATATATGTATGAGGTCCTTGATCTTTTATCAAATAAATGAATAAAGATGTTTTTACTGAGGTTTCATAATGCTTGTTTCTCTTTTGAGACTGAACTGTTTGCTGTTACAGTAACAGAAGGATTAATAGTGGCGCATAGTATTCATGGACTAAGCCTGGCGCTGTCATCTTGTAGATATTCTAAGCTCAGATGTCTGCGCTTGTGTGGCCCAGTGCTGCTAGCAGATTTCCCAGGAGAATGTCGAGCAAAGCGACAGTGAGAGGAAAGCCGTGCGCTGAGGGAAATGTATGCAAATCCTCAAGGCTCAGTGGTTTTCTGCAGCCACTGAGGTTGACCATGGATAAATGTGGTTTCTTGTCCTTTGACCGCTGACTTTCTTGACCTATGATGGCATAAAGCTAAAAAGAATTTGCTCTTAAGTTATTGTATGTTGTTAATGAAGTAATTGGAAATAAAATGTGGATCGTTGTCTTTTAAAGCCTGAGCTTTACATTTTGAAGGAGATTTTCCCACCTTCATTTCCCTTTGTTTCACTACTGTGTAAGACTGGACTTGAAACTGTGAGTGTAGTAATCTATCGCAGCCAACAGAGTATTGGCTTTTTGTGCTGTCAGACTCATGATATTGTTTGCTAATACACTGCAGATTTTTACAAGCTGGTACATCTGAAAACATCAGTCCATTCCTATAGCACCCTAGACCATAGAAGGGCCCACCAGCACCTGGGGTTAGGGCCTGTTTTAGAAGGATGGCAAGGCGTTTTAGGTCTGGTAGAGTCTAAATCAGCTCCATTTGCTTCCATGTCTGCAGCGGTTTGCCTGCCAGTTTGTTTCATATCTGGCAGCCTGTGGTGACAAAATGGTACTGGGCCAAATGGGCGGCAGGAGTGATCACACAGGCCAAAACTCAAGAGTTTTTGCTCTGCAACAGAAATTTCAAAGGAGAATATCTTGGTCATAGCACCTTTTAACCTGTTGACATATTATGGCCAAAAATGTTCCATACAGTTCCTTTTAGATGGCTTTTTTTAATCTAGACTTTGTATAACGTGGTAAAATGCTGACTTATCCTCAGTTCAAGAACAATTTATTTACTGAAAACCTTAGTTCCTCTGTGGAAACTGTGCAGTTTATCCTTATAGCTTGTGCTTAATGAAACTATGCCATCGCATTCAAAGCTGAAAAAGCAATGTTGACCATGGATCAAATAGCATGTAAGTTGAGAGGGAAACTTCTGTTACACAAAAGATGGTAATTGTCAGGCCTTTTACTGAATTGCATTTACACAGCTTTGTGTCACAATGTATGTAATCAGGGCAGGAGATGGAACACTAATGAATAGTTTACAGGACAAAAGATGTACTGAGCTCTGCTGCTTCCTTTCATGTGTGCAGTCTGTCCTACAGAGGAAGCAGATTTTCAAACAGTGTAGACAGGTACAGTCTTTAAACAAGGATAATGGTGGCCATAAGGGCATGGTAAACAGTCCTATACAGTGCTTTTCTATGTAAGAAAGCACACTCGGAGTGCTTTACACTATTAGCCCATTCACCCACTGGTGCGTGCGCACGCACGCACACACACACACACACACACACACACACACACACACACACACACACACAGGTGATATAACTTGGGGCTTGGGGCAGCCTGGGTTTAAGAGTTGTTTATTGTTTCCATAACAAATGTAAACCCAGTTCTCACTTCTTACTGATGTTTCATGTCCATCCAGGTGCTCCAGCTGTCAGTCACCCAATATTGCCTATGAGGAAAACATGCTGGTGTGTGCCTGTTGCTGCTGCACACAGGTGAATGACAGCAGTGTGAAACCAAGCTAGGGCTACCAAGCTCTGTAGAGCTGCTCAGTGGGTTTGTCACAGTGACTGACTACTTTCAAATTACAGATCAACCAATTTATTGTTAATTTAAAAAAGATGTGTAGAAAGCGCTGAATGTCATAACCCAAAATAATAATAGTTCAAAGAACAACTACCTCAGTGCACTTTGTTTGAAGTATTTACACTTTGTTGGTGTTCATATGAGGGCAGGAAGTGTTATAAAATATAAAATATAAAGCATCAAAAACGTGACTTCACAGTAAATCTAAACTTTTCTCTGAAAGATGAAGAAAATGGAAACAGTTATGTGAGTGAGAGCGTGAACATGATGTTGCTAAATTTTGGTTTTCATCTGTTGCAAGTCATGTTTTCAAGTCCGAAGGAGTCTCAGCTGACACTGTTGTCCAGGTGGCAGTACAGGTACATGGACACAATCATGGCAGCAATCTGAGGAAGCAATACAGACTTAATTATGTTGTGGCATTATTTTTTACTCAAACCAGACTATGGCTGAACTATGAAATTGCGTGTGATCATATTTACTGAGGAGTTGCAGTGGAGAAACAGAGGAACTGCAGCACCACAGGAATTTGAATTTGGTCTCATGCAATATGTATTTTGAAGTGTTCCCATTCAGGGATGCAAAAGTCAGGGAGGAGAGAATGGAAATGTATACAAATACCCTCAGTGCCTGATTTGCCACGGCCGCCACAGAGAGAACTGCAGCTGAAACTTAACGTCAGGAGAAAGCAGGTGGAAACTCTGTGGCCTTGCTGCCAGCGTGGCAGCTGTTGGGTGTCTGAGATCTCTCTGGTGTTGTCAAAATCTTTGAGCACCATGTTTCAAAGTTTCTTCAGAAAATGTTGCCATTTTCATTTGTCTTACCTCCAGTAGTCCAGTTCCTGCGGCGACGCCTCCCACGATGTTGGCATGCTTTTTGAGCGTCTCCAGGAGGTGTGGAAAACAGCCCTGAAGAAGAAACACAACATAAACGTCAGTTCTCACGTCACCTTGATACCCACTGACCAAGAAACAGGTGAAGGTGCCAGAGGCCAGATTCACAGCTTCTGTTGTATTATAGCCTAAAACACACGTCCAGCTGCCTGCAACTGTTGAATGTTGTTTTGAGCCACTTGACCGTGTTCAGTATGATCAGAAGGAAAAGTCGCAGGTTTTCAGCGTCAGTCAGTTTCCTACTTTGTTTGACTGGTATTCCAAAATAAGAATGATATTTTTAGCCTTGTGAACATTGGGGCTTTGGAACAAACGACAGTGGTGTTGGTTGTTCCAGCATGTTAGTCCAGACTAAAATCTCTCAGCTGTTTGATAGGTTGAGATAAACCTTCATACACCGGTGAAATCAGGACACTGCCGTGTGGACTGAAGTAGCTGGATATCAGACTACCAACCTACGAGTGGAGGACGACCCACTCTACCCACTGATCCACAGCTGCTAAGTCTTAAAATGGACTTCTAGTTTTTTTTCTAATTTGCTTTAGATTGTTCTTAGTTAATTTATATTGTTAAATGTTTTGTTAAAAATTCACATTCTCTTTGTCGTTCCTTTTGTGAGATGGTGAACATGGTACAGTACATGCTGCACACGAGCACGC